AGGGCGGGCCCCCGTGCCTCCGTCCAAGATCCGCCCCTGATGATCCTGTGTTTGGACAACACGATTCGAACCACCATTTCAGGCTGTCGGAAATGTTGTGCCTCGGTTTGCAAGTCATTGCATTGTGAATTCCAAATCCTTGCTCAAAATTCAATGTAAGTCTGTTTCTGTGCCAATAGGCTTATACACTGAATTATAATTTAAAGAAGAAACTTATGCATATTCGAAGTTGTCGTTGTTCACACTTCTTGGAAATTACACTTAGAGAGGCATACCTGTACAAAGAATTCCTGAGGTGCATCCAATGAGTTTGCCAAATCATCCGCCAAGAATTCGTTCCACTTGCTGAGACTGTGTTTCCAGCCTAGATGACAAATGGAGGCACATACTGGTGTTAAGAAAAACTACGATAACTGTGCACGACACATATGCCTAAATACGGGGTGAAAATCCAGATAAGATAACGGATAGACGCAATAGGAGAAAGTTAAAGATCTACAGATTGCTTTTGGGTAGACATAAAAAAAAAGTTGGCATAACCTTTTCAAGAGATTTTATCCAGTAGATAGCACTATTAACCTATCGAAGAAACGAGGCATGACCCTTTTACACCCACGAATTACACGCGCACGCAGGGGTGCTGTAGTACACGCGAGCGGTACTGTACTTTGTTATGGCGTCACAACATACACTCACCAATGGGCGGCTGCAAAGTATGTCCAACCAGGGATGACCAGCCAATAGGATGAATCTCAGCAGATTGGTAGTGGCACCAGAAGTCTTCAGCCACATCGTCATCCAGTCCATCATACCGCATCCTCAGACGGTCTCCTATCACATCAACTATGGTTGCTACGCACATGGAGTACATGTTCTTGCGATCAGCCACTTCCACTTTCATGCCCTTCTGGAATCTGTTGTACGATTGGCTTTGCAGTTGTTGAAGGAATTCTACCGAGAAAGTCTTGGCTCCAGAGAGACATTTAAAGAGGTAGTCCCGCCAGTTCGCGCATTTCTCTCTGATAGCTGTAGGACAGAAAAAAGAACTAAATAATAAATAAATAATAAATAATAATTTAGCAATGGACATTCCACTGGGTGGCTCTTCTTGTCCACTGTTTCCAGATCGAATTGGAATTTGGAACGTTGGTTTTTGCGGAGGGAGGAAAACCAGAGGACCCGGAGAAAAACCCTCGGAGCAAGGACGAGAACCAACAACAAACTCAACCCACTGTGACGCCAAGTCCGGGAATCGAACCCAGGCCATAGTAGTGGGAGGCGAGTGCTCTCACCACTGCGCCATCCCTACTCCCCTAAGGAAGAGTTTACACTGAAAACTCCCTGAGGAGAGACTTGCGACCTACATTTCTGTACTGAATTAGAATTTAGGAGGAAGTTGTTCTGCGCGGATAAAGAACAGTCCCCCGAAAGTGTTGTGATGCGCATTTGATCATATCCACATGTTAATTTGCGAAATATAAATATTAAACTATTATTATTATTATTATTGATTTTAATTTTTTTTTAATTTTTTTTTTTTTAGAGAACTGCTTTTTGTGAAATATTTTTTAAGGAAAAATCTACTATTATTATTAAGTTAATAACGAAGAGATTCAAAACTTTTCTCTCATTTAGAGACTTTTTAAACTTGTTTTGTAATATTTATACCTTAATTATGATCATCATTGTAGTTATTATAAGAAGTGTGTAACCATGAGCTTTTTCTGGGATTTTTACTGGACATTTTGACGCATTTGTTTTCGATTATTATTATTATTATTATTATTATTATTACTATTATTATTATTATTATTATTATTACTATTACTATTATTATTATTATTATTATCGCAGAGAAATCAACTGAATGCTACATTCTAGTCAGGCAGCACAGGGCGAAAACCGTAACCTGTGAGCCATGGAATAAAAAATAGATGTACATTAACTAATCCTAAAAAGCTTTTCCGTTGTGTCTGCGGTCCTCCTTCTAACAGGAAGTCAAACTGCCACCTTGAAAGTCCGGGCAATATTCAGCTTGCCCGAGAGCACTGCCCTCTGCATCTTTCGCAGTACGTCTGTGCTTCTGCCTCCCACCAGCTCGCGCATCATGACATCCAGCTCCCGTGACCACCCCCCGAGGGCATCCATAATGATGTTATATTGCTTCACCTCGTAGCCTGGGAACTGCTGCCTTAGTTCCCAGCGAAGGGGTCCGTACTTCAGTGTCTTCTCTTCATCCTTTCTTGTCCGATTGTTAACCCACGGGCAGCTCATTTCCAGCGTCACAACTCTCTTGCACATATGATTTACAATGCGTGCATCCACCCTATTGCATCTGACCTCTTGTTGATCAGCATATATAGGGACATCCCAATAAGCTTTAACATTCTCTGACTCATACACGGGCTTCGGCTTGTCGGGTGAGTACCAGGGTGGTATCTCGTCTATAAATCCCTCATCATACAACAGTT